AATAAAAACCGTTTGAGCGATTTGAATTTGAGATCCCTCCCAATCCTTTGCTCGCACCAGACCTTCCCATTTTTTGCTCCCATCGTTCTTTTGTTGTCGATCTATTGTTGTCGATCTATTGCTTGTTGTTGATCGCTGGTGAGTATTGTTGTTGTTGTTGTTCTTGTTTTATTGACAATGGCGACAATGACATCATTATCCGCTACCGCTACCATCGATTCGTCACTGCTACTCGATCTGCTCGCAACCATCTGCTCGCAACCATCTGCTCGCAACGCGACAACACCACAACACCCACCACCGTAGGAGTCGGTTCGATCGCACATGAGGACCAAGTACTTCTCCCGCCTTCTCCAATGGCTGCAAAGTGTCAACGATACCCATTCAATGAGCGAGGGTAACAAGGCAAGGATTCATGCAAGTATGTCATTTGTGGTACAACAGTGATGAGGAGATAACTTCTGTTTGCCACAACAGCATGAAGTGACGTTCTTGAGGAGTTGATATTGCAAGGAGCATGCAAGCCACTTCCTCTGCCATGACCGAAGTCATGGATTACATGCTTGGTCCAGGCCTTCAGAAAAGTCCAAAATGGTTCAGAGCTGTCATCTCCACTCTTTCTGAAATGCTGGAGTCACCACATCCATCAGGCTGTGAAAGGAGGGACATCTTCATTGAGTGCATCTATGGTTAGTGAGGGAAAGGATCAGTGAGAGCTATGAGGTGTCCTCCCTTGAAGACAGATTATGGATGCTTGGCATTATTATTGTTGCACTGGTATGACACAAGAAGAATATCTACAAGAAGTTAATTTCCTTCCAGGAATTGGCTGAGATGAGTGAGACTATGGTTGTTGATTACATCGGCAATGATTCAGATGATGAGTGAGACCATGTAAGTTACTTGCTAAATTAGAATGAATTGGATGTACCTAAATATTTGTTGCTGTTCTAGCTTATGCCATATATCCATTCAATCGAGTTTGGCAGGTGGCATCATGAGGTGGTCTTCCTCTCCTGTTAGTCAACCACTGGCAGTATCTCTGACAGCATCCATTGGGTAGAGGTTGCTGGAAAGGAGATGGCAGTATCGGTTGAAATTGCCGCATGTGCATGGCAAGTTGCATCATTTGAGCTTGTTGTTGTTGCTGGTATTGCTGGTATAGAATCAAATTACCAACATAAGCATTTCTTGTTTGTGCAACAGCAGCTTGTTGGGTTGGTGGTGGAGGCGGCTGTGGTGGCTGTGGTGGACGGATTGCTGGTGGTTCTGTTGGAGGTGGTGGAGCAATTGCTGGTGGACTGATTGCTGGTGGACTTGGTGCCTCGATTGGCGGTGGACTCGGTGGTGTTCCAGTGCAAGCCACACACAAGCAACAATCATTGGGTGCATACTTCTGCCTGTGTGGTTTGAATCCCACAATGAACTCTGAAAAGAACCTCTCTCCAGTGTCCTTTGGCAATGGCTCTGCATTTGGAAATGGTGCATCCAGACCAATAGCCTCTGCCATCTCATTCAGGTAAGCCAGCTCTGAGTGGTTCCAGTAGGGGACCACCTTCTCCCATCCAGCTGGAATGGACTTCCTTTGGGCCTCACTGACACTTGACAGGAATGATCTCTTGTGTCTTATCTTCAGGTTGTATCTGGCTGTTCCAGCCAAGTTCAGTGCATCAGCAAGGCTCCTTCTCATTCCTCCATTACCAAAGTGAGCAAACTTGTCATGGAATGCTTCTAACTTTGACTCTCCTCTCCTTGACAGGTACTCTGGCAGCTGGTGCTTGGAGTTGGGAGAAGGTTGGATTGTGTCATACATCTGCTCCATTGGCAGTGCATCAGGCAGGTAGATAGCTTTCTCTATGCAGTTGTCTACTGCTGGCTTGGTGTCAGAAGTGAATAAGGTGAAGTTTTTGACAGGATCAAGTCTTCCTTGGCCTGGTTGGCTGCCATCACTGGCTGTGACCTTGTACCTGCAAAACCACTGCTGCAACCTCTGCCTCATTGTTTCTGGTTGTCTCATCCTCTTTCTTAGATACTTGGAGTACCTGTTACTGAAGACTCTTGATGATTGCAAGTCAGTGATCTCAGCCATGGAGTAGTGTTTGCCATCAGCTGATAGCAGACCATGTTTGAGAGCATGGAGTAGCTTCTCATAGTCTTCTGGTAAGTACTCATAAAGGCAATCCAAGAGACCATTCATGGCTTCCAAGTGATCAATGTGGCCCTTCCTCAAAGTTGACAGTATCCTCTTCTCATAATGAAACAGGCCAAGTCTCCCCTCAATACCTGGAAAGAGTGCTTCCCAGTAGTCATCCTTGTTGGGCCAGGTGTCACTGTACATGACAGTTGGATTGAAGTTGGGTCTCCTTGCCAGCTGCATTGCTGCATGGGAGAAGTGGATGGTCTTGGTTGTGGGAACCAGCACTGCAGAAGCTATCTCTCCAGTCTCCGTGGCAGCATCCCAGACAGCAACTGCTCCTCCTGTTTCTTTCTTCATGTAGTTCTTGACTGGCTGGAAGGTGTGGTCTTGGCAGAAGATTCCCTTGTTGCAGCTGACACTTTGGATCTCCCTTGTGTTCCTATCATTGTCACTGATTCGCCATGGGTTCCTGTTGGAGGAAGCAGCCCTATCATAGTAGTCACGAATGGTCTCACCAAGAGGAGGATACTGTCTGATGTAAGTTCCATCCTTTTGAAGGAAGGGAGTAGGCTCCCTCTCACTGCCTTGCCAGTAAGAATAGTAGGACATCATTGCTCTGATATACTCTCTGTTGACTGCATTGTAGATGAGTCTGCTGCATAGGTCTCCATTGCCGTAGGTAACCATTATAGTGTCGAACACCTCAGTAGCTGTCCTCTCCAAGTGATAGTCTGTTTTGGGAAAGGCATACTTTGGCTCTACTGGGTACAGCATGGAAACATGCTCTGGGATTGACACCAGTACCTCAGATTGGTTGGCATCAAATCTTCTCTTGCAGCAGGTGCAGACCATGGACATGACCATACACCAAGATGGAGGGCCAGCAATGCCAAAGATTGGAAAGAGAGTCTTACTCCAGGACCATTGTGTTCTATGATTCTTGAGTTGGCCAGAGCATCTTCCATCGGGACAAGGTACAGTAATGCCACATCGATTCCAGTCCACTAGAAGCAGTTTCTGCCCGACAATAGAGTGGTAGTGAGGAGACTCGAATTGCTCCTTTGTGGATGGGACTGTCATGGTGAGTCCATCAAAGTGTTGCTGGAATAGGTCCTGGTTCTTTGACCTGGTAATGGATTCTGACACTGCTTCTGCCATTGCTATCATTGCCAGTGGTGCTATTTTGGTCTTGTGTTTCTCCACAAAGGTTGCATCCTCTACAAGAGCTGTGACTTTCTCGCAGAACACAGCTGGAGTAGCCATTGCCTTGTACTTTGGTTGAATTCCTTTGGCTTTGGCTTTGGCTGTATTTGTTCTGGGAGCAAAGAAAGCTTCCCCATTTTCTCTTGTCGAATGCCTCCAGCTTCCTCTCTCATTCAGTGGAAGGGGAGCACTGAATTGCCTTGTGAGTCTCCTGCTTTCTTTGATTGTCTCCATTGTCAGCGCATTCAAAGGTCCTTGTCCTTTTGTTATTGTATTCTTATTACAGAAGACAGAGTGTGATCTCTTGGGGACTCTGAGACCAAAATGTCTGGCCCTACAGACCTGACAGTGTCTGAGTGGATCAAAGACTTCTGCTATCCCTCCTTCCAGTGCTTTTTGGGCTCCTTCTCTCGCTCTCTTTGATGATCTTGGGTTGTTGTTGTTGGCGGCGAGTTGGAATGCTCTCTTCTGCTGTGGATTCCTATTCTGACTCTGGCAGCCCATCTCTTCTCCATTGTGAGTGGTTGGTGGTGCTGCCGCATCTGCTGCTGTTGGTGTCGCTGTCATGGTGCTTTTTCGACGAGATAATGACTGTCGAGTAGCGGCAGGTTGAGTCATCGTCGATCGATCTTCAACGGAATCCTCTTCTTCTTTTCGAAAGAACCGAAACTTGCTAGATTGGTAGCACACTAACTCTATAGGTATGTGTCACGATTACGTCATTATCCCCTTAATTGATGCTGACATATACAGTGTTCTCCGGTACTCATTAGCCAATCAGATTTCTGCCATTCACCCCTTTTCCGCCTCAAGGCCACACGGGAAATCTAAAAGGGCTCATCGGTCTGGGGATACCGGTACCGTTCATCTGGTGGTTCAGAATAAGGAAACTCCACAACTGCGTTTTCTTCTAATTTGCATATCTCCAAATTTGTAAAACTCTGTTTTGGTTTGTTCTCTTATTATTCCAACCAGGTATTTATTTTTCAACATTCCTGAATTCAACATTGTTTCTCCTTACTATTATAGTATGCATATAGTATTTTGAACATTTTCCAGCCAAACCAACCAGACGCACGGTAAGATAGTCGTACAGTATTGAATGAGAGCCTCAATCAAACAAAGGCATCATAGCATCGAATCACTCAATGGTTTTTGTGTATAGTGGCCGACACCGCCTTTCTGAATTAGGTCTACTTACTTGTACTGTATGACAATAAGTGATCCGTCTCTGAGCCAAGCTTCGGGGAAGCGTCCCTAAAAACTCTGCGTGGGGTTCGATAGAGATTCAGGTGGCACGAATTCAATAGAATAGAATCAATCAAAGATGAGTTCGCGCTCAACACAAAAGGCAGGGAAGAGGCAAGAGAAGATCCGGCGCAAGGCCAGTTTACAACTGTCCAAGCTACAGGCTTCGACGAAAGACGAGGCACGAGATGCTGCGACGAATGTGGCAGAGCTTTTCACCAGAGGCTGGAAATTCAGCAACTTCAGCCTTCCAGAAGCCATGCTGCCATCCTACGATGCCGACGCCAATTCGAAAAGCTCAAAGGAAGCCGTCGGGATTGAATCTGCTGTAAAAAGAGGTCTGCAAAAAGGATCCAGCGAGAGGAATGAGAGAATCAACACAGAGGGTGTCTTTCGAGATGATGCTTCTGATTTTGATCTAACCACTATCACAGAAGACGTCCTCACCAACATTTCGGGTGACACTCAGTCACAAAAGCGCAGCAAAGACAAAAAGAAACAAAAGGATGGAGGAAAGAAGAAGAAAAAGAGCACTCTGGATATGTTGTCGAAAGAGTTGACGCACGATGCTTGGATGTGTGGCGTCTGTGGGAAGGCTTTTTCCTCTTTGGCTGCAGCCGACAAACATGAAGAGAGACACATCCAGGATATTGTCCTTGGACTTGGTTGGGGAGTCGACAACAGAAATTATTTTACTGGTGGTGCTAGTGGGTATTTCTCTTCCAATGAAAGTGTGGCATCGTCGCGCTATGGAACTGGCTCTACTCATCGAGTCACCTTTGGAAATGACCCTCGAATGGAGACACATTCCACTACTTCTGACGGAATCGACCCAGTTCGTCAGATGCACACGGCAGGGGCTGGTGGACTAGATCCGTTGTTTGGGGACAGATATGATGAGGATCAGGATGAAAGTTTATTGCTTTCCAACAATATGAAACAAGCCATTGTGCTGGCCGACGAAGCCTTGGTAAACGTGTGTGAAAAAGCTGAAAAACTCGTTCTCACAGAAGCAGAACGAGAGGCAGAAAGGGAACTCATGTTGCTGTCAAAAGACAAATCTTACTATGATCTCATTTCAGAGAGAACCCTGAATCGAAAGCGGAATCCTGCCAGTCGTTTCCGGTCCGAAGGCAAAACTGTACTCAGCAAAGTCCAGAACAAGTTTGTCGATGCGTATCAGCTCATGAAAGAAGGAGACCAGGGGCTTTCATCAGATCAGTACAATCGCAAGCGGACAGGGCAAGATGACACCGATCACGTGCTTTCTCATGATGATACGACTTTGTATGTCAACGTGATGGTGAGGAATTCTATCCAGGTTGTCAGTCATGAACTGGAGCGGCTTGCCAAGCGGCGGTGGGAAGATGCCAATTCAAAAGACCATGGCGGGAACCGCTTTGAGCGCTTCAGGGCGCTGGCTCATGGAAACTTGGGTAAGTTCTAGGTTGCACTGGACTCCAGTAGCGCTGTGATTGGATCAAATCAAATTTGATGCTAACATCTGACACACGCCTTTCGTGCACTTCACCAGTCAAACTGGCGGGTCTTGCTCTGGCAAGTGATTTTACACCGAGGCGTATCGCTGTCCAGTTGTCGAATGATTTGTATCGGTAAGATGTCACGGTGGTTACAGACAGCTCCCAGCCGGGAAGCGGATCCACCCATCCCTTCATCTAAACATTTGTGACTCTCGCCCATCTACACTAGACTGCTCAAGCCAAAGATGAAGAGACGTGGGGTGACAATTGAAACAGAGATCGAGTATCGCATTGGGCCGTATTTTGTGCTTGCTGTTAATATTCTGTACGTTCAACCAGACTGCCAATCGATTCAATTCCTCGATCAACCCCCCTGACAGTGTCATCGGCTGCTCCACAGGTCAATTGATTGGGGGAGACTGATTGTTGCAACAAAGAAGGATGTAGTAATAAGAGAATCGCGATGGCAAGCGATGCAAAGACGGAAGGCACTAGAGGAAGGAGCAGAAGCGAATGCAGACGCAGAAGAAAGCCGATGGCGAAAGCGATGGGAGATGTTTTGCCATTTCACAAGAATGACGCGATTTGACATGATCGCACAAGTCTTGTCGTGGTTGCACTATTGCCATTGGATTATCTATTGGCCAGTTTGCACCTTCTATTACTACACATTCATGGGCTCGACAATCCGAAGTTTCATCATCTCATCTGTTACCGACGGTAAGCAAATTCAACGTCCATTGTTGGCATTCTTTTCGGCGTGTTGGCTGACTCGACTCTGTCCCGTACCACAGAGATCTTCTTTTATGTGGAGGAGAAAGGCATGGAGATGGTGAGCAGCAGGTTGTGCTTTGTTTGCAGTCTTTCCTCCGTTGTTCCTCGTGTTGCTCACTCTTGCGGCAGGAAATTGAAGTTAAAAAAGCCAAAAGGCAGGCTGCCTTCATGGTAAGCAGCAACTTGCGCTTTCTTCTTCGTATGTCCTCCTTGATGCCTGGTATTGGCTGACTCGATCTCCGGTATATAGCTGTCTGCTCTCCGAGAGATCAGGGCGGACGATCGAGCCCTCAAAAAGAAGCAGCAAGAATCCGATTCAGCCGACAAGGGGACTATTCTGGGACCGCTACTTGGACCGGCAATCAAACAGGACAAAGATGCACCTGTCATACCGCCAGGGTTTGAAATACCAGAGAACTTGGAGGACGTTGGCCTCGAGCTGGATCTGCCGGTTGGATTCAGACGCCTACGATGGGCACTTCTAAGCTCCACGTCTGAGTTTTTGAAGGAAGCTGTCTTTAGGACTGAGTGCAACTATGATGAGTAAGTGATGGAAGGATGTACCTGAGAAAGTCACTTTCTGGCCAGTTTGCTCATTTTATCTTGACTTGCGCCACAGCTTGACTTTTGGCTCTTGGTCGAAGCACGACGAAAACATTGGAGCAGTGGAGACTCCACCTGGCGTTGATCCTGCCGACTTTCTTGGTGCAGAAAAGGAGACCAGGTACGCTGGTCTATTTGGCTTTGACATTGCTTTGTCTATGTGTTTGACAACTTATCCTTTGCTCTCCCCTGGAACACAGCTACTTGATGCCAAAGAGTGCCTTCGTGTCCGCGAATATGTGCTATGAAACCAATCGAATCGCAGCTTATGTGAGTGGGGCTTGTTCTCCCTCGAACCAAATCAATGTGCTTTGTCGCCTTCCTCACTGGTTGCTTTCATTTCATCTCTCAGAATGACTACGTCTTTTGCCTCAAGAAGGAGGCTTTGACACCTGATGTGCCGTATGGCAAGACATTCAAAGCATGGACTCAGTTTCTCGTCATCAACACTGGCAACAACACTTGTCGGCTAATCTGCTCGGTAGAGGCCGAGTTTCCAAATGGACCACCGCTGGTTTCCAGGCAAATCAAGAGTGGAATGCGAGCAGGAACAGGAGAGATCTTTGTGAAGGTCGGTGAAACCATTTCGAAGTACGCGGATGAGTATCCTTAGCTTCGTTTTCTTCTGAGAAAACAACAGCTGTGAACAAGTACTGTCCTCGCTCAGCCCAAAGTAGCAAGCAGTCCCCAAACCAAGTATTGCTCCGAGTTTGGTATCATCATGGTACCACTGCAGTAACTAGCTAGAGACACTGCTATCGTAACTAGTCTATAGAAACCAAACGCTTTGCTACAGCATACTTGTGCTTGAGTGCATGCTTATAGATGATTGAAAATGATGCATTTAGTCCTGCAGATTGTTTCAGTAATACAAACCCTGGGAAACACACGACCTCCAGCCTGCAAAAAGCGAGCCACGATAGTGGTTCTACTTGTCCTTCTTTGATTCTTCTTCCTTCGTTCCTTCCGCCTCCTCTTCTTCCTCGTCAGGTTCTTCGCTGTAAGCAAGCAGCTCCTTCATTTCCCCTCTGATAGCGGCACATCCCAACGAGCTGATTAGACAAGCGGGTACAAGGTACAACAATGCGGGTTGTGCTGCTTCAAAAAAAATCATGACTGCCATGGTTGTGCTCATGCCCAGGATGTAAAAAACGAGAGCTGAATGAAAGTAGGGTTTTGGGAATGATGCGTGCACATCGGTGTACGAAGTGGGTAGATTGGCCTGGTGAGCATCGAACCTTAGCAGCAAAGCGAGGTTGTGTCATTAAAAGAAAGGTTCCGATCAAGGGAACGTGCGAGGGAAGATACATGAGGTTCAAAAGGGCGATGTTGGCACGAAAGGATAATTGCCGACTGCTGTTATGGAAAGATCGATCCGATCATGGGAACGTACCTTAGCAAAATTGCAAGAAAGAAACCTGGAATGACAATATCTCCCAATCCCAAGAGAGCCAGATCAATCTTTCCCGTTTCCTCGCTCGGCGTTAGTGATCGAGGGAACAAGATCTTGATTGGTCCTGTGGATTGGTTGAACAGGAGGGAATTTTGGCATGAGCTCCCTTCCTTTTCCCATGACTGAACTAATGATAAAGGTAACTTTTTCACTTACCATCTAAACTCTTGGCGACTGTGACCATCACATCGGTTCCAAAGACCCAGAACTGTGGAATGGCAATGAAACGAAATGAATTAGCTCACCATCGAAGTATGTGATTCTCAATTTAATTGCACACTGTTGTTGTCTGCGTGTTGAACTTACAATATCTATCAATCAAGAAACAAAAACCATCGCAGACAATGCCATTGCAACAAAAGTTGATTGGGTGAGATCAAGACAGCACCGTTCACGCGGAAATCAAGGGCCATGAATGAGACACCATTCATTCACGTACCGTAAAAGAAGAGCCCCACCAGCAGAATGGCACCAATTTTGTACGTCCCTAGACTGAATCGCTGAATTCCTTGGAGACAGAAGCATATTCCGAGAATATTGTTGAGTGTCCAATGCTTGGACATGAAATAAAAGTAGCATAGAACCATGGAAGGAATAATGGCAATGGCATCCACTGTCTGGAATTCAATGTCCAATTCCAAGGGTTCTTTTCCGAGGACAATGTTTAAAAAGGCTGGATGTTGATAGCTTTTCTTGAATCCATATGATTTTTCCAAGAATGCTTTATTTCCTCCTGCCAGAGTCAACAATGCCGGTGCACCTGTGGCTGTCAATGCCAAGCACCCCGCCAAACAGAAATATCCACCAATGAGTAAATTGACGAGATCCTTGTCCAAATATTTGAAAGCGCAATAGAGTCCAAAGAGAGAACAGGATCCCACCAAGGGAAATTGATAGGCATCCGATGCCGATAAGGTTTCCACGGCTGGTGGAGTGGAGCCTCCATCATTGGTGCCATCGTCATTGCCTTCTGGCGGAACTTCTCGGAGTGCCAAAGACCAATGACAGGCCACATAGAGAATGGCAGCCACCAAACTGATGCAGTTGGCAACGTAGGGAATGAGCACAACCTGCGAAGCTCCCCAAAGACCGACGATGGTCAAGTACGACAGCCACAAGACGACATTGGTCTCTTGTTTTCTTGGGGGAGATGGCGGTGCTGGAGCTGGTGCTTCTGTCTTTGTTGCGCCTTCTGCTTCCGTCATTGTTCTTCTGTTGCTTGGGTTTTGTTGAGAACGAATGTAATAACAAGTATTTGTTTCGTTAACCGGGGGTATACTAGTACATGACCGGTATGTAAGCTCGGATGTTGGCTTTTGGAGATGGAAATGGCAAAAATAATGTAAAAGGAAAAAGAAATCAGAAATATTATATTACTTCTTCCACGTGGAGCTTTGGTCTCCACGCAGAGGAGACCATTGCCTCTTCCTCCGGGTTGCTGCGGAGGATCGAAGAGCCCCGCTTTTATTGTGATGGCTCCAGGGGACCCTGATGTACCAGAGTCGATCTTGTCTTCACATTTTGATCGAGAACAGTAACAACTCTCCCTGAGAGTGCACATATAGAATAGCATAGCTCTGGAGTTGGATAAAGCTGAAGCTGGATCGAGGAACCTTCTCGAGTGGAGCCGTCTTTCAACCAAGATGACCCATCCAGGAGAACCGAGCAACAATTGGACCAAGAATGGCTTTGGAGAAGCCGTTCCTCCTGCCAAAGGAAAAGGAAAGTTCAGCTCTGAAGAATCTGAACAAGTTCGAAGAGCGGTCAAAGAATTTTGCGACGCCAAAAACATATCCTCGGACCGACTGTGCAGCGAGTGCGAGCACAAGGCGGAACTCAAGGGAGCCTGGATGGAAATTGCCAAGCAACTACCGCATCGATCGGTTCAGAGCGTCTATCGTCATGGCCTCCGAATTCTACATCCATTCAAACGAGGCGCATGGACGGACAAGGAAATCGCCAGACTGTTTGAACTGGTGACTCTGCACGGGAAAAAATGGGTCAAGATCCAAAATGAACTACACCGTTCGTCCGATGCCTGTCGCGACAAGTATCGGGAAATGAGTGAAGACTATCAAAAGGGACGATGGAAAGAGCTGGAAACAGAGCAGCTCAAGACACTCATACGAGAACACATCAAGGCGGATCCAAACACCACCATGGTAGAGATTGGAAAAATGGTCGAAGCGGAGGGCATCAAAATGCCTTGGGTGGCCATTAGCAAGGCTATGGGGAACCGGAGTCGCCTCAGTTGCTTCAAAAAGTTTCAAAAGATGACGGGACTCTTTTCTCCCAGTGATGAGGGCAAGAAATGCATTCAATTTGAGGGATTTACAGGAGCGGATGGAAAGCGAAAACCAGCAAAGAACAGGGCTGGTCGACCTACAGCTCCTGCTACAAATACTGTCCAATCTGCAGCAACAGAAAGCACAACATCAAATTCTACTACCGTGAGACCCACAGAAGCTCCTCATACTGGTTCTGCTCCTGCCACTACTCAACAACAACAACCCGTGGCGGAGCAGGCTGTCTCCATCATGCCTGGAACAGACATGACAATGCTGCCTCCGGATGGGATCTTCCAAGAGGATGTGGCTGGTGATGAAGACATGTTTCTTTTGTCAGAGCTGGCATCGAGTGGCGCCACGCGAACATCCGACGTATCCTGGGAAAGCATTCGGGTGGAAGGAGCTCAGGAACGATGGAATGGCATGATTGTGGAATGGCAACAACAGGAAGGAGAAGAGGCTACAGAAGACGCTCTCACGGAATTGGCATTCTACGAATTGGCACAGCTCTTGCTCGACCGAAAGGCATCCAAAATGGCAGCGGAAACCGTGGAAGCAGTGGATTTGCCTCTTGTATGAGGCTATGTACCAACGAGAGGCACGATGATTACACAACTTAGTCGGCACTACAACCTACGGCAGGTGCCGATACGCTATATATACGCAAGACATCTTCTCTATTGCTGAGATGACGACACTCGCTCAGAAATGCATCAGCTAGCAACTATCAATTATCAATAGGCTTGAACAGAAAACTATCATAGTGCCAGGTAGCATACTGTAGGCAGTCACATTTTACAGCTTGCCAAGTAAGAGGAATGATGCCCTTCATGATTTATTTTGTTTTGCGAAAGACCTCACGGGCCGAAATTGGCCCGTAAACCTGCTTCTGCACAGACACCATTCACCCGCACCGGTAGTTAGTAGTTCAAGTCGCAACAATCCATACAAATTCACTGAGTATATTGTTGAGCAAACAATCCAATTTGAACTCAAGCCATTACTGGTATTGGATTGTGGATTGCCAATAAGAAAATACATGTATCAGCAAACTGGATGGACGGCCCAGTTGGGGAACCATCAATCCATCTTGAGTTCTCTCTGAAGAAAAAATTGCTCATTTTTTCTTGGATGTTTTTCGTCGTTTAGCCTCGGGTTTCTGGGTTGGTTCAGCTGTTGGTTTCTGCGTTGCTTCCACAGTCTTTTCTTCTTCAACCGCCTTTCGCTTGGGTGCTTCCTTCTTTTCCTTAGTTTCGTCAAGTTTCTTCTGCAACGTGACCATCAGCTGTCGCATATTGTTCAGCTCTTTCCTCAAAGGATCATCAGCGGTTCTTCCTTTGTTCAGCCCTCTCAATCTAGCGCCCATGTAGCGCAAGGTCCCCATGGCCAAGGCAACGGCCATGGATGCTTGAGCCCTCTTTTCTTTCTCATCCTCCGTCAGCGGTCTTGAAACAGACTCTCCTGCATTTTCTGACGATTCTCCTACAAGATCACGGAGAAAAGGAAGCAACTGTTTCTTGATCTCTTTCAGAGACTCTCGTGTCTTTTCCAAGGCGTCCAGGGATTTGGAGGTGGCCATGGTCGCAGTAGGTGTCGCAGTGTCGAAGTGAGTGATGAGAAAATGGATGAAGGTCGCGACTAAAGTGGAGCTCAGAACCCATTAAAACGCTGCAAAGCTGTAAAAAGATGCTTTTGATGTCTTTTAAAAAAGCGTGTCTTGGTGATTAGTCGTGTTGAGAGTATCTTTGTCATCGATGAGGACAAAGCTTCTTGGGAAGCAACAAAAATGACGCTCTTGGCACTAACCTTGCCGTCAGCAATCATTCCATTGACTTCCTTCTTCTCACTTTCTAGCGAGTAGCTTGCTAGCATCTCTTCTCGTACTCCCTTGTTGATACCATATCATGGCGACGTCTTTTCCGAGCCCAGAGGAGCTCAAAGGTGTAAGATTCTGAAGGATTGCAAGTTCTGGTAGTGACAACACAAAATCTCATGAGTTTTCACCTTCTTCTATCCTTTCTCAATAATATCCAGACCGTTCTCGGAACTCTGCTATACGTCGGGGTATATGCAGGCATTCTGATCCCATTCCAGTCTTTCTCCAAGTTCTACCTCTTTGCTCAAAAGAAAAAGGAGGCCAAGACGAAAGCCGCAAAAGATGGCGAATCCTTTCAAAAGAAACCCGGCTCTGGATCTTTCTTCCTTGCCACGAAATACTACAACTCGCAAGACATGCTGGCTTTATGTGGAGATCGGTCTGTGGGAAACTATTTGGAACAATCCCTGGTATTCTTGCCACTCTACTGGCTACATGCATTGTTTGTGGAAAACGGTGCCTCCGAGTCCTTGATGATTGCATCCATCTACTCTATTTCAAGGGGCATTTATCCACCATTGTTCTGGTTCGCCTTTGGTACCAGTTACACTCCACTCATTGGAATCTCTACTGGTCCTGGTTACATCATAACATTCTACCTTCTCTACCAAGTGGCTGCCAAGTTTGCGTTTGCTTAATTAAAGCAAAAAGTGGGCTGTTGGCTGCATGACTTTGTTGGAGTTCAAAAACTTACTTGCTCAGTTATTCTGTTTTCTTGGTAGGAGCAAACCCACAATCAACTATGCCGTACAATAGGTACAGAAACGAAGATAAAGGAAAGGTTCATTCCGTGGCATCAGAAAGATGCATGCGTCCTATTTCTACCTTACATGTAGCGAGAAGATTCCTAATGACACGGTATTACCGTGTCTTCTGCTGGCTCGTTGTACAGTACCGGTAGATAGGTTTTTCTGCAGAGATTACTATTAATACCAGTACCGGTACTACTCCGAGGCTCGCAAAGGGGCCGTTTTCTGGTATTCTGATTCATCATTCCCACCATTTCCCTCCCTGTGCGTCAAAGAGTTCTAATTTGGGCTTATGGATGTGTTGTGGACTTGTCGTTGATTTGTGCCGATCCTCTCTCTGCCTCTCCTCAACACGGGTAGCTCTGCAGTTGTTGTATCCTACCTCTTTTAATTGACCATTAGCCGAGCCCCGCTGTCTACTGCATGTAGCTACAGATACGGTAGGCAAATTGTGGGCTTTGGAGGGAGATCAATCAGCTCGGGCGCAACTCCGAATTTACTCTGCGTCAAAGTGTGTCTAATTACCGTGTTCAGCGATGCGTCGGATAAATCTTTGGAGAAGGCAGGCTTTCGTCGCCTTCCGGCACCTCATTCATTCTCATCTCATTGAAAGCCGTTGGCGTTGGTGACTGTTGGCGTCCCACCTCTTTTGCATCATACTGTCTCTGTTCTAAAGAGCTACGGTGGCTAGAGCATTCATCGACCATGTCCGACGTCGAGAAAGCTGAAGGCCTCATTGGTGCCGAAGTGCACATGATCTCGGGCTGCAGGGATGAGCAAACTTCTGCTGATGTGAGCAATGTTGCCAATTTCTCGCTCCCTGATCCCGCTGGCCGAGCAGGTGGCGCTTGTACTTCAGCTATGCTCAAAGTTCTCTACGCTGATCACAAGAAACCCGATGATGACTTGTCCTATCAAGAGGTTCTGTTGAAAATGAGAGAAATCCTGCAGGGCCAGAGGTTCACTCAGGTGAGGCTGATGCTGATGAAATGCAATGCCTGCAGGCTGGTTGCCTCCGTGCATTGGCAATCTGCTTGGGCAGCCCACTCATCATTCATTGCTTGTCTTTTGTCTGTTTTATATCAGATTCCCCAACTCTCCAGCTCGCGGTCCCTCAACATCAAGAATAAGTTTGCAATCGTCCCTGATGATTTCTCTGGCACTAGAAGGGCTGTCATGGTATGTGCAAAACCATTGACTGCTGTATGGTTGCCGAGTTGTAGGGCCACTTGTTGTGTAGAAGTTATGAAGATATCCTCTACTAGTCTAACCAGCAATATGTAACTTGCCTCTTAACACAAAGATTGGCATCAACTATGTTGGGCAGCAAGGAGAATTGAGTGGGGTAAGTAACTCGGCATTGTGTCATTCTCATCCAACCCACCTTGCAACAAGGTCACAGGCTGTTTGCCAGCCTGACCTGCCACTAACCACCATTCTCAATATTTGCTGCATCTGAAACTATTATTACCAGTGCCACAATGATGTCAAGAACGTGAGTTGCGAAAGCACATAATGCAACTATCAGTTATGCAAGAGCGCTAACTCTACATATATCCTCTTTTAATAGATGATCGAGTACATCAAGGATATTCATGGGTTTGAGGATGAAAATGTAAGCTTTCATAATATGACCAATATGTGCAACTTTTAACCTTGTTGCAAGTCTTACATCTTCATGTTGCTTCACAAAACAGATCACCATCCTCATGGACGATGGGGAAAACATATCCCCCACTTATGAAAACATTATGAATGCCTACAAGAAGCTTGTTGAGGAAGCTGAACCTGGAGACGCTTGCTTTTGCCACTACTCAGGTATGTCAGCCACCCCACAACAGGAACTTGGTGTTGACTGTGCAACACAGTAGCTAACCTTGGCATCTCGTGTGAGCAGGTCATGGTGGGAAGATCAGAGATGACGATGGTGACGAGAGTACGTGCTCTGAGAGAAGTTATACATTTGTGGATGAGATCCAACGTAGCAACTCAGTTGTCTTTCTTTCAACGTCTCGCTCACTAATCAGAGGATGGGTATGATGAGACACTTGTTCCGTTGGATTATGGATCTGCCGGTCAGATCCGTGATGACGATATCTACAAAACTCTAGTGCTACCCATGAAGAAAGGAGTTAATCTCACCAGTGTCATGGTAAGCGAAGTTGTTTGTGCTTACGATTGATTGGGCTCTTCACCAACCAGCTACTCTTTTGCCTCTGCTGCAAAAAACAAGGATTGCTGCCATAGTGGCACAGTTTTGGATCTGCCGTTTGTATTTGTGGCGGATGGCTCTCAGGAGGAAATGACGATCAAGCCAGACTTTGACATGCAGAAACTTGAGATGATTGTTGGACTACTGCAGGCAGCTGCGCAAAACGAAGATGTCATGAAGATGGCAATGAAGATGTGTGGCTGCAATATACTCTAGCTAGCTTATGAGCAGGTCTGGTTCCAACGAAAAGCCGAAGCCGAACCAGTATTGTTGCCAGTGAGTGAAGGAACAGTCATTTGGTTGTCTGGAGCGGAGTGATTAAAAAGTCCAGCCATTTGGTTGCCTGGATGACGCATACATGAAAAGTGGACATGCAATACTGAAGGAGTATAATGATGTTGAAATTGGGATGAAGGACCCATGCAGAGCTGTCAATTGGAAGATGATATTTGTGATTGAATGTCCTAAAATGAATAATGCATGTGCAGTAGTTCTAAGAAGCAATATCGAGGACACGGAGTGTTGAAATTGTGCAAAACCAACTGTGTCAGTACGATTGTCGGCAAAGAGTGACTGATTAAGTAAACTGTGAAGAATGTATTGAACCTGTTGATCAGGAACGCATGCAATAATAAGCTGCATTTTGCTACCTTGTAATAGAACTTCATGTTGTTAGGTTGCATCTTTACTCGCCTACTCAACTTCTTCGCTATCTACATGTAGCGTACAGGATGGCTTGGCATTCCTGGGCCTCTTGGAACTCTATGACAATCTGAGCTGCGAAGATACGGCTAGAAAAGTAGGAGTTAGATGAGCAAGTTTGGAGCTGCTTTCGCTATAATCATAGAACAAACAGTGATCAGCACCGCTTGCTACCACAGTAAGTTGTCTTTGTTTGAGCAGACTTGTTGAACTGCTTGCACGCTGCCAGTAGACAGTTGCAGAGTCCTGGGTGGGCACCACTGGTTTTTGACAGATATCTTGACCTCCCGATCATGCCTTTCGAATGGTGACGTGATGTGTCTCCTCCCTATTACTCAAAGCTTCGAAATGGGCTTCGTTGCTGGTTTTGTTGCCACAATGGTTTGGGTGGTCTTTGGGATGAGCGATTCAACTTTCGGAGCCACAAAACCTGCTTGCGTTAGCATCTCCACAATCCGACTGGGCCGCAGCCCCATTCCATCTGGGGCAGCAGAAACATGCGTGAGGCGTGGGAACCGGGTGGTGCTTGAAGTAGCGGCTGCTCTACCGTGAACTCAATTGCCGCATCTTACCTGGATTCACTGTTGTGTGAGCCAATGCCCAAAGAGCTGGGATTTGCAACATCACCAGCGGAGCGTGAGCCATGAAGTATCGCTTCGTTCACGACAGCATGGTTCATTCACGTACCTGCATTGGTAGGCCCTGCCCCATCATTGTCGACAAAGAAATCATGCAGAATGGCCACCCCTCCAGGCTTGAGAACACGAAAGGCATTCTGATAAAGCCCGGGCAATGCTACTACAGGAATCGACCCACTGATATAGCTCATCAAGACAACATCATAGGATTCATCTTCAACGATACCGTGCCATCTACCGGGATCATTTGCGGATAGTGACAGTGTACTGAGGCGTTCTTTGACAGACTCTTCCTCCGTGGCAATGATATCTGCCGCCACTTGTGTGACATTGGGTAAATCCAGGACAACGCATTCCGCATGTTCAATTTTACGTGCCGTGGCAATGGAAAAGGCCCCGGATCCACCGCCTACATCCAGCATTCGAAGGTTGGGAAATCGAGTGGCCAATTCTGGAAGACGACGGTGCAACGCATATGCCGTTGCCAATGATCCATTGTGTTGTGCCTCGGTGTATTTCCTCGCCGCTTCCGGATCGGCCTCAAACCTGGGAGATACATACAGGGAAATGCGATATGTGAGCGGCATGCTGCCATAATGATGGACGCAACACGTATAGTTCCTGGACTGACTCTCACCAGGCTTCATATCCATGTTTTGCTGTATCTCCCGTTCTGAGTACAGTATCGAGATGTTCCATGCGATTGTAGAACTGTGCATCCACCTGATTGGAAATGTAATCCCCCCAATAGTGTTTGGAAGATTTCACCAGCTGATCATGCGATGCTTGTGGGAGCGTAAAGAAATCCTGACCATTCTTTACCTTTCGACGGATGACATTCAGTGAGACACATGCCGACAATAAGGTTCGCAGCCGTTCTCCTTGGACTTCTGATTGTTGTTCAATATCTTGAAAGGTTGCGCCGATTGCAGCAGATGGATCAGCAGTTGCCGAAGCAATGGCATCAAACACTCCTGCTTTGAGTGCCGTGGAAAGAGCTTTGCTTCCCATAAAGGCATAGGCAATTTGATCAATGGCTGGTTCCGGAAGTGTTGACGAATGGTTGTCGTCTTGATCATGATCACTGCCACTCGAACCCAGCAGAAAGTCCTTGACGACCTCATGAAAGGCATCGGCATGTCGTTGGTGCAGATTGTGTTTTCCTTCTGGAAAGACCGTAAGAGTTACATCTGAAATTTGTTTGGCAATGTATCTGGCATGTGTCATACTACAAATGACATCTTTGGCTCCATGAAGGACCATTGTCGGACAAGTGACTTGATGGAGTGCACTCAGACAAACATCGCCTGCCCCTTCTGTGAAGAGTCGAATCCATCCATCCGTCGCGCGATCGTTGAGATGCTGCAATTTGTCGACCCCTCCATGAATTTTGGCCTTGTCGTCTCTCATTCGCGGGGACCAACTTTGCTTCACATCTCTGACTGCCTCCCAGGCATCGACATCTTCTTTTGTTACATAGGCATTGCCTCCCCAGACAACCAACTTGTCGACGTTTTCCTGTCTTCGAGCTGCCAAATGAATGGCCGAATTGGCTCCATCGGACCATCCAAGTACCGAATAACGATTGACGCCCAGTTGCTGCATGACAGCGGCTCCATCCAGAGCATCCCGGACATAGAAATCGAGAGGAAAGTCGCGTTCCACACCACTGACGCCGCCCAAACCTCTTGGATCCATGGCAACTACACCAATCGAATCCCCCAGTCCTCCATTCAAAATGGCTTCAAAATCAGAAGGACCTGTTCCCAAGGCACCCGGGAGACAGAGAACTGCCGTTTTGTGAGCGTCAAAATTGTAGAGGCTCACATTGACATCAACCCCATCAGCGGCTACCAACTGCTGTGTCCAGGCATGGCTACTGAAGCCTCTCAAGCTCCCGGACTGACTGCTCCATCGCCTCAGACCGGCGCCTTGTCGGCTGCATGATCCTATGAGTAGTCTACTGCTGGTCATCATGGACATCTTGACAGAGATATCTTCTTTAGGCTCTGAGATGAGGAGATGGATCCTACGATCCTCGATGGTGGTAGTTGTCGGATCGGAGCTTTCAAAAGATTTCTTGTACCTGGTACCGGTACCAGTACGTACCGTATGTTCTGAAGCCGATTTCGTGAATAGATGACGTCAGTCTCATTTTTGCTTCTTCTCAAACGCGAAAGCCACCTTTCCTTTCCGCGATGTTGTTCATCCGTTCATCCTGGGCTTTTCTTTCTGTGCTGGTTCCAAAAGAACTTTGTGGCTCTACTAGATAGCTAGTACTGGTATCATCGCAATCTGTATTGCAAACTTTGCTGACCATGACCTTGATATCTGTGCGGAACAGCACTGGCTGTCGAAGGAGCTGGGTCCGTGGATCCCGAGTGCCATTGCTTTTCCTTGTGGTTGCACTTTCCATTGCGACACAAGCCAACGCGTCCTCAAAGAAATCCTCAGCTCCTTTCAAACCAGCCTTTTGTGTCCAAGCTTTCTCGCGGCAACGTGGAGACGATTGAGCTGAGCGGCTCTTATTCGGAGAACTTTTGGCAGGCATGCCAAGCCACATTCCCACCCAAGCATGATCTCTACACCTTTGATTCATCCAAGGACCCATCCAAAGCTCTCCAAGTAATCAATGCTGCCTTTTGCTTTTGTCTACTACAAGGACAAATTCATGGCTTTCTACCTCCCGCTTTGGTAGCCAAACTCCAAAACATGCCCTTTGATCCAAAAGGACCTGCTGCCATGGTGCTTCGCGGTCTACCCATCGATCCCAACGTGCCTCCCACACCCACTACGAGGGAAACTTTCTTCCAGCAATCACGCAGCTGTTCGTGTCCCGTCGCAGATACCATGGTATTGGGGATATGCAGACTCTTGGGCATCCTCCACGGACCCAAGATACCGCCGCAGTCCCATATTGTCCGAGATCTCATGCCAACCACTAAAGAAGGACTGGGATCTCTACCCATGCATCGCGATTATGCACGTCAAGTCGGAGACCAAGCGGGGATCCTGTGGGAGCCGCAGTTCTTGATTCTCTACTGTTTGCGATCTGGAAGTGCCAGGTCACAGGCGGCTACCATTGTCACGGATTATCAGCGGCTCTACCAACGCATTTCCAAAAACGATCGAGAGCTCCTGCGCAAGTACAAGATCCAAATGAAGATGCAGTTTAAGGGTACAGACGACATTCGTGACCTTGGTGGTCCCTTTTGTTCCATTGAAGGAGGAGAAGAAAATCGAAACGATTTGAGCATTACGCTTCACAATGGCATTCCAGGGGCCACTGTGTGGGCCACCAGCCCTGATGCTCGAGAGACGAGTGAAGATATGGAGCGCCGCGTTGTGCAAGCATGCGAACGACTCTCCGACACTGCCATGGAACTTGGAGAACACGTTCTCCTGCAACCGGGAGATATGCTGATCATCAACAATTCACGCTGTGTCCACGGACGAACGGCATACACACCGCAATTGGATGGGAAGGATCGGTGGTTCATCAAGTGCTATGTGTCCAATGGACTGTGGAAGGCGCCCGGTCAACCCAGTTGTGGAGGTTACGGGCGGCCCTCGACCTTTCCTAGTTTAGATTATCCTCAGTAGAAGTGATGGCATGTGGCTAGTAGCCATCCTGCAGGAGTAAAGATAGATAGATATAGTACAAGTTTTTGAGCGACAGTCTGTTAGTGCAGGATTCCAAAATGTTGCTATGGTGGGTGTGTCGGGTCCTTCTCGTAGACAGTTAGTTCTGCAAGACGATAAAGTAGACATACATGTGTGAGTCAGATGGTGCTAACACTCGTTTCTGGGGACACTGACTTGTAACTTACCAACACCATCTTGGAGCTGACCAATTGCATTCGTCTTGCCAAGCTCTTCTGGAATGACGTATTCCAGTTGTCCCATGACCAGTTTGGAAGAGACAATGCCTTGTTCTCTCCTCTGTTGGATGTAGGATCGATAGGGAATGTCAAAAAAGACGACATTATCGGCAGCGACGTGCGTTCCCTTTTGTATCCACCCCGATGCTTCCAGTTGTTGCAAGTCTGACACGTACAAGTCCTTGTCATGGTCGATAAAGAGAAAGTCAATCTTTGATGTTGTGACTGCAAAGTGCTTCTGCAATGTCTCGGTTAATGCGTTGTGACTGTTGGTTGCGTCGGGTAAAAGAACAAACTCGACAAAATCTTGCAGTTTTGCTAATTGCACCAGTTTTTGCGCGACGATTTGATGGCTTGAGTTGACATCCACAGAGAAGATTCGAAAGGACGGTTGGGTGGATTGTGGATGTGTTCGGGTGAATTCCAAGATGGTATATGCCATGAGAATGGCAGAATATCCACAATAAGTCCCCAGTTCGACCATGATCACCGTTTGTTCTGGTTTTGTCTGTCTGATGAGGCGATTCTGGTATAGCTGGCAAAACTCCCTGATGAAATCCTTGAGGATGATACCCTTTTGATCCCCAATGTGCATCATCCAATGCCTCGAGAAACAGTACTGGTCTACCAGTTTCATTACTTGCTCGGCTGTTTCCAGTTGGTCAGAAGTAGCCAACAATTCCATTTCTCGTTCCACATGATGGAGGAGTGCTTGTTCGGTACCATTGTGGAAGACAAGGACACCACAGGAAGGGTCGCGTCTCGCCTGCTGCTGTCCAGATTCTGGCACTGATGCTGTATTGGATACTACATTGCAATCATCACCGTCCTTCTCGTCATCATCAGCATCATCTTCTCCAAACGCGCCAAAAGGATCATCTTCTGCAGCCATGGTAATGGTTTACGCTACTGTATCACTGTATCTCTGGTCGGCAGCGACTTTGGACTGTGTGGGGCTGATGAAGGGTGGATGCTTGTGCTGTGCCAAGGATCCAAAGATTTCCAATTTAGCCCTAACGTTAAAGCTTTAACTTAACCCTAAGAAGATGCCTTTTTGGCCTGGTTTGTTGAAAAGGTGTGAACTTGAACGCACAATTTCTCTATTTTAATCAATATCCTTCCAGCTCTACTGTCTAGTAGACTGGCTATTCGTTTCGTTTTCTCTTTCTCTCTCGTTCAGATTGTGAGCTCTACAACTGAGCTCCGATATGCATACATATACCAGGATCTTTCGATCCTCTGCTTCTCGCAGTTTCATCTACAGATAGATCTCGTCGATCTATCTTCCTGAAGTGCATGGTTGGCCCTGGAGGCTTTCCCACTTTACTAAACCTTGGTCCTTCATCCGTCCATTCATTTGCTCCATCCCGTCGCTCCTTCATTCATCTCTTCGACCAAACTTCCTAACCTTTGTAGTTGCATCATCTAGACGACCATTGTCCTCGTTCTCGTACTCCTGGCCATCTGATGATGACGGATAACCATCTGATTTGAGTCACACATCCCCAATCACGAACGGTGATTGTGGATCCCGAGTCGTCTGTCCGTCATACGAAAATACTTTTCTGACACCCTCCCTGTTTTCGCGATGTGGCAGCGACCTTCTTACCAACTCAAACCAATTGCTCCTTGTCTCCTTTAGTTTCGGTGCATGTCTGTTCGAGGGTCTCGACGTTTACATTCTTGTGTTCCAATGTCGCTCAAGTTGTCTTCCGAGCGAACAAAATCATATCTTCACTAGGCCTGTCCTGCTGCATTTGGGTCAAGTAGTGCCACCTCGTATCCATATGCTTTGTTCGACTTGCACTTGTCTTTGTCTCTGACATAAAGATAGCACCTACGTTGTCGATCTTCACTTGCACAGGTTAGTTCCACTTGATCTGTAGGAACTTCAATAATCTGCGCGATGAACGGGACTT